GGGAGGGGGAGAGAGAGCACTCACCCTCCCCCACAATGGAGTAGAGTAAGAAATTCCTACCCTAGATGACTCAGGCACCCAGCCACACGCCCGCTCCAAGTTCTACTGCACGACCTTCTCCTACTGTAAATCTGAACAGTCCCCAAGGCGTCAAATGTTTTCTGTCCTTTACCAGCGCAGAGCCCTCAGTCCCGGCCAGCACTGCCTCTCACTGGAGTCACCCTGGGCACCACCCCCTAGGTGTCCCTGCCCCCAGTATTGTACCGAACACACACTCTGATGGCCACACACACGTCTGATTCTGTTACAACTGCTCTGAGGACGTCCCGGGAGGTCAGAGCACAGGCAGGGGGAAAGGTCTTCCCGGAGAAAGCCCCTCCTTGTCCTCCAGCCTGGTCTTCACGCCGTCCTCACTCCAGGCCTGCACTCTATCTCTGCAGTGCCTTCTCGGGGCTAATGCTTATCCTTCCCCTTCCCCTCCCCTTACCAGCCAGAAGGTAGCTTATGGTCTACTACAAACTCAAAACATGGCAGATGCAGCTGGGCATGGTGCCACATACTGTAAGCCCAGCACTCGGGAGGCTGAGGCAGGAGGCTCGAGTTGAAGGCCAACCTGGGCTACATAGTGGATTAATAACAAGACCCTATCTCAAAAACAAACAACATGGCAGATGACTCCAACTCCTAATCCTTTTCCTGAGCTGTGTCTCAGGGCATCTTTTTTTTTTTTTTTTGGTCTTTTGAGATAGGGTTTCACTATGCAGTTCAGGCTGGACTTGAACTCACTTTGTAGCCCAGGCAGGCCTCAAACTCACAGTGATCCTCCGGCCTCAGTCTCCAGAGTGCTGGGATTACAGGCGTGCGCCACCATGCTGGGCCTCAGGGCATTTTAGAAAGCAGGGCAAGTGTCTTATGTCTGCATGTCCAGCATCCACCGTACAAGTTCATTACACAAATGAAGGAACGAAGGGAGGAAGGAATGTCACCCACCCATATATTAAGTGTGAATTTCATAGCTCAGAAAAGTGAGCTCTGAGGGTGAGCATCCCTGGCCGAGGTCACACCGGCCAGCTCTGTCCGCCACCGAAGCTCACGTTACTTCGGTCACACCACCTTTCTCCGCCGGCTCTTCTGTCTTGAATCTCTTCCCTCTCAGCTTTAAACTTACTTAAATTGCTCCTTATAACAATTACATCAGTCTTTTGACTATGGCTTCCCTACAGCTCGAGATTTATTTTTCATTTTTATTTTTTGTCTTTTTGAGACAGGGTCTCACTAGGCAGCTCAGGCTGACCTTGAACTCACTTTGTAGCCCAGGCTGGTCTCAAACTTGTACTGATCCTCCTGCCTCAGCCTCTTGAGTGCTGGGATTACAGGTGTGCACCACCATGG